AAAAAAAAAAAAAAAAAAAAAAAAAAAAAAAAAAAAAGTGTTGAGTGTGGAGTCATGGTGAGGGGTGTTGCAGTTTTAAATGAAGTGGTCAGGAAAATTTCATAAGAAAGTAGTGTTTGAGGAAAAATTTGGAAGTAAGGAAACCAGTAGGATGACTGGGGAAAGAGTATCGCAGGCCAAGGCAGTAGCAAACACCCAAATCCCTACAAACTGTGAACAGTTTGTAAAAGAAGAAAAGCAAAAGCTAATATGCATTTTAAAAAATTTCAACTTTCTGGTCATCTAGGAATTGTAAAATAATACAATGACAGACGTCATGCCTATCACATTAGCAAAAGTTAAAAAGTGATAGCAGGGCTGGCCCGGTGGCGCACTGCTGCAGTGCGCCGCTTGGGAAGCGCGGTGGCACTCCCGCCGAGGGTTCGGATCCCGCATATGGACCGGCCGCTCACTGGCTGAGTGAGGAGCGGGGGCAACACCGAGGGTTGCGATCCCGTTGCCGGTCCCGGTCCGGTACGGGCGCGACACTGAGGGTTGCGATCCGTTGCCGGTCACGAAAAAAAGACAAAAAGACAAAAAAAAAAAAAAAAGTGATAGCAATCAGTGTTGCTAAGGGTATAATGAAATGAACACAAAGATATTGTTGATGGAAAAAATAAATTGATAAAATCATTCACAAAAACAATTTAACAATATGTGTCGAGTCAAAAGAGTTCATATGCTCTGCCCCTGCAACTGTGTTTCTACAAATCTATTCTGAGGAAGTATTTAGAGATGTGGACAAACATTTCTCTTTAAGAGTATTCACTTCTATTTCATTTATAATGGTTTTAAAAATAGACATTGGCTTAATGTTCAGTAGGGGAATAGTTCAGCAAATTATGCTTTAGCCACAGAATGTTAGGTACAATATCTGTGTCAATGTTCTTTAGTTGCAAGTAACAGAAATAAAACTAGAATTAGCTTAATCCCAAAATCAAATGCATTGATTCATGGAGGGAAACTGTAGAATGCAGAGAGATGGTCCTGGCCTCAGAGATGCCTAGTTCTAGGGGTGTGAACACCACCAAGACTCTCTGTCTCACTTCTGTGTTTTGAAAATCTATATGCTGTCTTCATTCTCCCAGCCTCCCTGTGAAGCTGAAATGATGACCACACACAGCCGTAGGTGCTCATTCTTAGAGACTTGTGGACCCAACAGGAAAGAGTTATTCCTTGCCTTTTACAGTGAAAAAATTATGGAGAATTACTCTGATTGGTCCAGTGAGTTCATGCTTATCTTGGGACCAGCACTGATCCTAGAGAATGGGATTCTGTGATTGACTCAAACAGAGTCATTTCCAGGAAGAAACAGACAAAGGTGGGCTGGGGTACTGGCCAGATAGAAACAATAGCCACTGTAACAGCCATTACAAATCATATTTCTGGACATGTTTAATTGCATGGAAGATGCTCTTCATATAATATTTATTTAAAAGTTTCAGATTAAAATGTAATATGTAAAATGATACCTAGTTTGCAAAAAAACAATATGCACACACATGAATGCATACATATCCACACACCTATGTACGTGTGTTAATAAAAGCCATGACAAGTACATCAAAATAATAATAGTACTTATTTAAGGATGATGAGTTTATAGGTGATTCCTATTTACATGCTTGTCCTTTATTTTTCTGTATTTCCTAAACATTTAAAAAAGAATATTTAAAAATTTATTTATTTATTAGGAAAAAATGTATGCAAATAACAAGTTCCTGGAGTATTTTTCCCTAAGATACCCTTAAAGTAAAATGTTTCCTCAAGTTACGTTTAAAGTGAAGGCCTAGTTGTTACTATCTTGGGAAATTTGTAGAATTTTTAATGAAATGGTTTCTGCAACATTTTGAGATATTTGCCACTTGTTCTAGAATATTGAAAATAAAAATGGCAAATAAAATGACATTTATGATTTAGAGCTATTAATTTCCAGAATCTAGTGATCAACACTAAGAAATGCTGTACATTTACATTATTTCTGCAGTTTTTACATCTGCAAAATAATATGGGATTTCAGTGCTATTTCTTTATTTTCATGTCTTGAACTCCATGTTATTATGGTTCAAGCATTGAGCTTTGATCCTGTAGGTTGAAATTCAGTTCCTGTTTCTATTGTTAACTATTCTATTGTGTTATTTTCCAAGCCAATTTACCTCTCCAAGATTCAATTTCCTCATTTTTGCATTGGGCTAGTCAAAAATAAAGTTTAGTACAGTGGTCCCCCTTCATCCATGGTTTCGCTTTCTGTAGTTTCAGTTACCTGTGCTCCGAAAGTATTAAATGAGAAATTCTAGAAGGAAACAGTTCATAAATTTTAAATTGCACATTTAGTGTGGTGAAATCTCACACTGATGGGCTCTCTCCAGCCCAGGCCGTGAGTCATCCCTTGGTCCAGCGTATCCACACTGTATACACTACTATCCATTAGTCACTTAGTAGCCATCTCGGTTATCAGATCCACTTTCATGTAACTTTTATTATGGTATATTGTTATAATTGTTTTATTAGTAGTTATTGTTAATCTCTTATTGTACCTAGTTTATAAATTAAACATTATCATAGGTATGTACGTATAGGAAAAAACATAGTATATGTAGGGTTTGGTACTATCCATGGTTTCAGGCATCCATTGGGTGTCTTGGAACATATCCCCTGTGGATAAGGGGGGACTGCTATAATTCTAACTCGGATATATATATGCTGTAAGGACTTGTAATGTGTAAGAACTTTCATTGTGTAAGATACTAACTGGAAACACTGCTCCAGTGAGAAGGAGGATAGACAAAAGAGTAGTGGAAAAGAAAATTTGCTTTCAGTCATTACTAAAAGGGAAAGTTTCTAAACGCTAGTAACATAGAGATCCTTCCTCTGATGATTCACCTGAACATGGTGAAGCATGGCAGTTGTGGGCCATAGGAGAGGGACCAGGGCCTGGTGTTAGACCTGTGCCTGAGGACTCATCTGTCCAGCCTTAAGTACTGACACTGACAGGCTGGGATACATTGGTTCCTGGAGGTCTAGGCACACACTTACCAATGGAGGCAGTAAGGTAGTAGGGCATGGGGCAATGTAACAGGTGGGTGGGACACCGCATGTGGCCACATTTGGTGGACAGTGCCTGCCAGTTTAGCTTCAGGTTCAGGACTTAGATTCTTGGTCAAAAGAACTGGCAAAAGAAAAGCAGGGCCCCAGACTGACCCAGCTGACTCCTCATAGTACTGGGGTACCATGTAAGCTTCAGAACAGAAAATTGGACCTCAAATTGAAGCCTGGTTGAAAAAAACAAGTATAAAAAGGGGTAGAGGGGATGAGAAATACAGCTTAGGTATTAGGACAAGTCTGTCAGTTATAATGCAGTCCTGCTAAATTCCACGATGTTAGTTTGGAAGGGTTCAGATACTGAGAAAGAAAATGCTTTATAGAAAAAATGGGCAATAATCTTATCTCTGCTATGTTAGAAACAAATATCAGTATCTCTAATAATAATACCAATTGATAGAGAACTTATTTCCCAAGAAGGGGTAGAGTGTAGATCATATACTTTCAGAAAGTTGTTCTTATATTCTCACTCATTATATTAAGTGTTATTGACAAGTTACAGAGTGAGTGCTTAAGGCTGATAAGATTAAGTGGTTTGGGGTTTGATGCTACATTAGGAACAGAGTGAGGTTTAGACATCCCAGCATTTCCAAAGTCTTTAGATGGCATTGGAATTCACTGGACTGTATTAATATGCTTTGCTAACCAGATTCCTTCTTCTAGATGGCATTCCTGCATCATTTACAAGTGCCAAGTCTATATTCAGCACAAAGGCCATGGTGAAGATGCAGCTTTTGAAGGATGTTGTTGGAAATGACACATATAGAATAAATAATAAATATGATGAAACATACCCCCCTCTTCCCGTGGAAGAAGTCATTCAACGGTCAGAGTTTGTTATTGGACAGGAGGTGGCGTATGACTTATTCGTCAACAACTGTGAGCATTTTGTGACTTTGCTTCGCTATGGAGAAGGAGTTTCAGAGCAGGTGAGTTTTATTAGGAGATACAAGAAGTTTCTTACATTGAGAAAATAATAACTATTAGCTATGATAAGTTTCCCAGTCGTCAAACAAAATGAAAAGAATAAGAAAATATGAGAACACTGAAAGACAGAGAAAGGAATTGAGTTGTCCAAGGTCATGCAGCAAGTTGGTGACCAAACTGACTAAAACATGGATATCATGAATTTTGGGCTAGAAGGGACTTGAAGTAGAATCAAGGCCATAGCTTTCTGTCAGTCTTATTGCCTTCCGTCCTTCAATTTTCTTCCCATTAGTTCACCATTCAGCAATCTCAAATTAGTAAAGTCATATCCTGAAAAGAATATGCTGAAAAGGATGTTGAATTTTTTTAGTGGGAGTTCATTTGTCAGAAACATAGACGGTCATTCTCAGATTCTTTTTCGTTGGTGGACAGTGGCCAACTGATGACATATCATGGTGGGTTTGTAAATGTTTTCTATTTCCTTGCAATGCTAGTTTCACTGAAAGTTTGTGCTTTTAATAGATCTTTTGATTCATTGAGCTTTGGGATGACCTTTAATAGATTAATTTACTTTGTTTTTAAAGTACCTTGCAATTTAGTCAGTTACCACTACTATTTTGTAGTATAGCGAATTCCCAGCTAACAGCTTGCTTAATTCAATTGCCCTTCTCCTACCTGTTGTCCCACCAATTCAATAGACTTTGTAGCCCAAAGATTTATTAAGACAATGTAAGAGAATAAATATATAAAACTATTATCAAAAGGAAGTCCTGTTCATCCAAAATACATATAAAAGTATTTTTAAATTAAAATATCAAAGATAATTTAATAGATTTTAAACTCCAGGGTGTTGTTACCTATAAAGACTTTCAAAAGAAGACTAAAAATTTGAAGAATAATGTCATAATATTTCACTAATATTTTAATGACTTAAATGTGTTTAAGGCTTCCAGTATCTTAAAATGATGGGTTTGTTATATAAACTTCTATTCTGAGAAATGAAGTTATATTTCTACCATGAAAGCTTGGAAAAATGGAAGATAGAACATAATGAAAGGATACATTTGCTTTCATTAGGAAATAATTTAATTGGAAATTCATTTTCAATAGGAAATACGTGAACATAATGTTTTATTCACATGAAACAATAAACTGCTTTCGAGCTGGAACACAGAGGACACACACAAATTCCTGCTCACCTTTGCATTGCAAACTAGTGGTATAGTTAGGAAATAGGTTCCATCCCTCTTCTTTGTTAACGATTAAGTTGTCCACTGCACTCAATAAACATTTTTTATTTTTTATTTATTTTATTTTTGGAAATGGGGAAGTGTTGGTCAAAGTGTTAGTTTTCAGTTATGCAAGATAAATAAGTTCTGAAGATCTACTGTACTACATAGGACCTATGATTAACAATGCAGTGTTGTATACTTAAAAATTTGCTAAAAGAGTAGATCTTATGTTCTCTTGCCACAAAAGGAAAAAATGACAAAATACAACAAAAAACCCAACAAAGGAGGCAGGAGGAAACTTTTAGAGGTGATGTATAAGTTTATAGCATTGATTGTGATAATGATTTCATGGGTGTATCCTTATCTCCAAACACATCACGTTGCATACATTGAGTATCTGCAGCTTTTCATGTGTCAATCATACCTCGATAAAGTGGTTGAAAAAAATGAGTATTTTCTATTTAAAAATGTGGCTAAATAAGAACGGATTAGAACCATCTTCTTGCTTTGACTCTAACTTGCAATTCATCATTCTTTCACCATTCAGACCCAGACCCAGAGTCATAAAAATTTAATTATTCCTCAGCAAATAGTAGAACTTGCCTCCAGTAGGTTCTGATGAAGATGGTTCAGTGACAGCCTGAAGAACCTGCCTAAGCTTTGACGTTCTGCTGACCTGAGCTAGGACTCATCTTCACCACTTCTTAGCTGAGTGACCTGGACACACAGTTTATGAGTGTCCTAATCTATACACTGAGGTTGTTTTAAAGATTATAGGAGGTATTTGAAGTCTCTTAGCATACTATATTGTGTATTATTCATCCCAATAAACAGTATGCCTATAAGGGATATTTTTAACTACAGTATTTAAAATATTTTTTAGTCCTTTGTTGGCACATTCAATAAAATCTCAATCTAACAGAAATAACAGAACTTAGATTATTTATTACTACCAATAATTAATAGTATTACCACTAATCATAGCTAGTATTAGATTAGTTTTTTGGGTCCCCTTAAGGCTTAGGAGTATTGAGCTTAGAAAAGTTTTCTTAGGAAATGGCTATGTAGTTCCCCAATTAAAAAAAATTATAAGAGCTGGAATCAGCCCAAATGTCCATCAACGGATGAGTGGATACGGAAAATGTGGTATATCTACACAATGGAATACTACTCAGCTATAAAAATGAATGAAATACTGCCATTTGCAACAACATGGATGGACCTTGAGAGAATAATATTGAGTGAAACGAGTCAGGCAGAGAAAAAGAAATACCACATGTTCTCACTCATTGGTGGGAGCTAAAAAAAAAAAAAAGAAAGAAAAACAAACAATCTAATTCACCCACATACACACACACAAAAAAAATCGGGGGGGGTGGGGAAGAAGATATAACAACTATACCTTTTTGAAGTTGTTACAACAAGCAAACGGAAAGGACATTCCTGGGGGGGGAGGGGAGAGAGGGAGGAGGAGGGAGGTGTCGGTGATGGGCCATAATAACCATATACATTGTATATTGAAAAAAAAAAAATTTAACGAAAAAAAAAAAAAGCGGGGGGGGGGGGGGGGAAGAAGATATAACAACTATACTTTTTTGAAGTTGTTACAACAAGCAAACGGAAAGGATGTTGTTGAGTGGGGGGGGGGAGAGGGAGGAGGGAGGGAGGTGTCAGTGATGGGCCATAATAATCATATACATTGTATATTGACAAAATAAAAAAATAAGTAAATAAAATTAAAAAAAATTATAATTCATAGAAAAGATTAGAAGCGTGGAA